CTGTAGGGATGGTCATTTAATGACACTCAAATGTAAATATTCTAATATTTTGAGATACCGGATTTTCGACTTTTATGAGCTGTAAGCACTAATCATCAAAATTAAAACAAAAAAACGTTTGAAATGTTTTACTATACATGTAATGAATCTAGAATATATGAAAGTTTCACTTTTTGAAATAAGTTACAAAAGAAATTTAACTTTTTCACGATATTCAAATTTTTTGAGATGCACCTGTATATATATATATATATATATATATAATGTCATGTCAGTGATTCTTTTTCTTAAAACAGCACAGTTGTTTATGTATTTCATACCACTGAGGTTATTGTAAATCTTCACAAAAATGTGAGCTCACGATTATATAACTTCGTCCAAAGCCTCATTGGGCTGTTTTTCCCTAGAGAAACAGCACCAGATCAATGTTTATGTGGCTATTTTATGCCAAAAACACAGAATGTCTGGCACTGATCTTAAGCCATTGACACTGAGACTCATATCCCAAAATATTTAAATTATAACAAACCACCACAGAAAAGTCCTTCCAATAATATCTAAAAAAGCAGTGTATTTTATCTTCTGTGTATCTGAGACTTTGGAACGTTTTTAAGATAAAATGTTATTTTATATTAAGAACATATGATAACTCAGGAACTTAAACGCCATAAAACAAGATTAAATATACATTTGCACTCACCCCCTCCATTTTTGTAGCACAAGTAAGGAAACCTCCACACATTTCCCAGGCCAATAATGTGCCCTGCCACCGCCAAGAGAAACTCCAGCTTATTCGACCACTGCTCTCTTGCCTGGGGTTTAGGTCTGGCCTGCACTAGGGCATCATTCATGAAGTTTAACTTCACACCTGGCCTTGAGATATGCTCCATGATGCTAATAATGGGTTGATAAACATATATTATATACCCAAATATCTGTCATGTAACATAATTAAGGCATAATGAAGAATGGGGCCCATATGTGTTTGCGGTAGATGTGGGCCCCATGAGCTCATCTGTAGCAAATGATAACATCAATAGACTCTGCAAACAGCTGCGCATGACTGCACGTGTTTTTTTCACGTGCTTTTACCTCACAACAAACTAATGATAGGGCAGTTGTTATCTATTGGAATATGTGTCCACATTTGGATCTTTTATTATACATAAATGAAATTTATTGTCTACATGTTTCCTCTTTAAAATTCTCAGCAGCCTTAAAATTGCACATACTACCTTGCATGTTACTGAAGTATACTTTTACTGCTGTTAATTAATTTAAGTCTGTTATTCAATTTAAATTAGTATGCTGTTTTATCAAGGTTTTTTATTTAATACATCATTCAGAAATACTGTGCTTCTACACCTGTCACCACATTTAGATGTTAAAAACCTGAAACATTACATGTCATTTTTATCTTTAAAAAACAACAACTCACATTTATATGTTAAAAAGCAAATCAGCTCAAAACTACAATCGACTTGCAGCTGATGACAACTGATGCATATATGCTTAAAAAGGAATTGGTAGTGAAGTAAAGTGCTTACCTGTTGTGGGCATGGTTTTACTTTGAATGTACAGCTTAAAGCTTTTTTTTTTGTTTTGTTTTTTAAACTACAGTACATCTGCTGTTTCACTACATGAAAGTGTTATGTAATAATGCGACAAAAGAGTAATCAAAATATACCTTTAATTTGAGAAGAATCCGTCTTGTATGTCTCTTTTATGTAGTGCTTGTATCTAGGTTAGCAGTTCAAAATAATGTCCTCAAAGAGAATGCCTGAGGAGTGGCCAAACCGGCTTCAAGAGCTCCTGAACAAGAACTGTTAGGCCTGAGCTGTTGGTCTAAAACCAGGTTTAGTATTCTCTGCTTTTCAAAAGTTGTAAACAAGACTATGCCATGATCAGAAAGTGTTTGTGTTTTGTGTGTCCCCCTACCATGTTTTTCAGAGATAAAACAGAAATGCCGTATCAGTGGAGCAACTGACAACCAATGGGTTTCTTTCTCTCACCCCTCTCTCTGGGGCTATCTTTCTCCATCTTTGAGCCTGTCTGACAATTTTGCAATAGGTCCAGCACAGTTCTCTCTAAAGTTGAATTACTAGTAACTGGACACCATGCCATTTGCATTGTCAAATGCATTCAGAAAAGAAAGAATGCTGAAATACCTGAACCAAATATCCTGTTTGTGCTTCATTAAGCAATGTGTAATTGCTGAACAGTCCATTATGCCATTCTCTCATCATAATCCTCCAGAACTACTAATTTAAGTGAGTGCTTGTAGAACTCAACTAAATGAAACACATTGGGCTTACGTGGAAAACGTGGAAAACAGATGCTGGAATACTGATCACAATCAATTCCATTTTGGACAATGTTTAAGGAGAGATTTAAGGAGAAACAGAATTGTTTTTGGTAAAAATCTGACATTATTTCAGTACCACGCACGGCACGCAGTACTTTCAAAACATCACAGCCGTGCGCGGTTTGTGAAAATGCCATTTGCAAAATCAACAGTGTCCTCTTGTGGTCGACTATGAGAATTGCGTTTTCCTTCTTTGGAATTTTTTGGCGTATTCCTCTTCATACTACCACCGCCACCAACTGTTTCTAATCATACATGGATGATAATTGCGTTTTCCCATAGAAATTCGTCAGTAAATATGATTGACTTCTTTGCAAAATTAGCTTTTTATTTTCAAACATACACTGCCTCACGTTGTCTCTTGTTTGCAGACGATCTCCTACATAAAAAGCAATACTTACTAATTAAAAAAACTACAAGATGCAAACGCAACTTTCTAAAAACAAATTCCACTTAGCCGTGTCTAGATGGTAACCCTTGTACTGCTACATCCGCATGCGTATTTGCTACTGTCAATAACCATAAAATGTACGCTTGTAGCTAACCACCGGCTTGATAGGAGCCTTGAAAAACTTGTGAAAGTAAAAAAATTAAAAAAAACTTGTGTCTGCATGTCTTTATCAGTATGGAGAAGACACTCAGGAGAAAGGTTTAATCCTCTGGAAGGACAGAACAATGACGAGTTTAGAGAAAGAACTGTATTGCTTATTTGCAAGATTGTATTACAGATGCATTGTTTATGTGTATGATTGATTATAGTAGGCATTTTTTTCCGTACTACCATTACCAGTGCAGAACTAGACACAAGTCGACCCCTGTCGAAACAGGTTCCTGTAGTAAATGAAACATGGAAAACCCGGAGTGGAACTCCAGCTGCTGATTACAGAACGTTGGAGGGGAAATCAATTGCTCCGTTCCATTCAAACACCCTGCTCCAGACCGGATGAAGGTCTGCGTTGCTTGGTGACCAAAAGTTTGATGCTTTGCTTCTTTTGCAACTATTTTCGTTTGCTGAAGAAAGAATTTACAAAAAATATAGAACACATCGTGCTCGTATGATACACACTGCGTTATTATTGCTGGGTGCCTATCTGCATTAATGATAACAGATTATAAAACAAGGTATTTACTCGTGTTAAGTAAGGGGTAACCCTTTTGATTTAATGTAAGTAAAGGATATTTCGCAATTTGGCAATAAAAATGACAAGATGGACGTATTTAGAAACATGCAGTCTGGTGTTGGGCGATATCCTCAATTTTCATATCGTCCTGTGGACCTTTTTTCACATTTCCGGGTTTCTCAGCAGCGGAAGTCGTCATAGTTGGGTAAACTTGAATAGCAGTGAATGGGAGAGTACCACAAGTATATTTTTTGCATTCCTATTTGCTCAAATAGCAAAATAAAAACTTCACGATAGTGTTTTCATGAATTTCAATAAAAGGAAAAAAATTGAGAGAGACTGATAACGGCAGTCAGAAGAGAGAACGATGTCAAATTTACCGTCCCTCCCATAGACGCTGCATTAGAAACACCCTCGCATTAGCGTTAACTGTTTTTTTGTAATTTGATGCAAAGGTGATATAATACAAAGAATAGTGTTATAAATGTAGATGCATTTTTTTAAAATACATATATGAAAAACTTTCGAGGATTAACGATGCTGATGGCCGTTAAAGGCGTCATCGCAGTCTTGTGAAAAGGGCCAGCCTGTGAGATCGCCCCATACACGATATTATCCTGCTAATTTATGTAACGTTAATAATTTACTTAGTTTCATTGCGAAAGTGAACCAACTCCAGCGTAAGGCTAAAAGCAGCCTAATGTTTTTTAATATGACTGAATTTGTATTTAACATGATAACAAATTATTAGAAACATCGTAAGTTACTAATTATAATGCTTACATTTCCTCAGTTATTAAAAAAGCAGCTAACCTAACAGAAAACGAGCAAAGAACATTACAGTACAAAAGAACATCCTCACAAGCTCAGTCTAACGCGTTATGCACTTTAAAACACTCCCGTTAAAATCAGTGAATATACACTGTATGATGAATACATCTCTTATACTTACATCGCACGTACATCTGCACTTTGTTGTTTATGAGGAGAGAATTCGCGAGTCAGAATTCAGTCAGCGCGCGCTGAACAACGGAACTCCGCGGTTTCAGTGATGACTCATCTGAACGCCTCTGATTGGCCATTGCATTCATAAGCTCAGCATAATCGTGTGTGATTGGTTAAAACGCGCAATACGGTTAAAACGCGGGAAAAGAAATATAATGCAACCAATAAGCCCTAATATTAATTAGATAGTATTACTAGCCTGATGATGATAATAATAATAATAATAATAATAATAATAATAATAATAATAATAATAATAATAATAATAATAATAATAATAATAATAATAATAATAATAATAATAATAATAATAATAATAATAATAATAATAATAATAATAATAATAATAATAATAGTCTTGCTATCCTATCGTCAAAGGCATCAGCCACAGGCGATATCTCTGACTATCGTCGATACACGATACTATCGTCTATTGGCACAACCCTAATGCAGTCATTTATTGCTGTTGAGCTATAAGCCCCGCCTAAAGACACACACTTACACACACACACACACACACACACACATGTGATTCTAAGCTCTTGGTTCTGTATGTACTCGTTTCCCTTTACGAGAGGAGGAGAGTGTGAGAGGGGTGGGCTTCAGCGACTGTATTATTTATAACGACCGAATCACACTGAATTAGCGTAACTTCATGGCCAAGGTAAATGCGGTAGACTTCCTGAACTTTTGACCAGTCGCCTCCATCAGGTAACAGCTCTACAGCTTTTGTTATCGGTCTACATCGTTTCCACTGCTTTCTAATTTACTGAAGAGGTTCAATTGAGCGCTGAGGTTAACTGCGTAGTTGTTTTCTATCTGGCTATTGTTTTTGGAAGTATTTCACTTGGCACCCGGCGTCACCGCAGCGGTTGAAGAGCACAAGTGTTCGGCTGCTGAATGTAGGCCAAAGGGCATGAACAAAAGCGCAATAACTGAGTGAGTTTCCTCCTTCTCTGTATGCAGGTTGCTTCAAGTACTGATTGTGGTTAAGTAGCGGCAGGTTATTTAATAAACGAATACGTTTGACTTTTTTTAACCTGCCTCATCCTTGATAGCATGCCACCTGTCACAATAAAATGAAAATATTGTATCACATGAATTTGATTTCATGTTGGTTTCATTATTTTTTTTAAGAAACAGTTTTATAATTTTTTACAAATTCTTAAATATTTGAGTTTTTTTATTTTCATTATCAAAATATATTAAAAATAAAAAATATTTTTACAAATATCAAGAATTTTTTTTAAATGTTGTTCCATTTGACCTAAAAAAAATAATTTTCTTTAAAAGGTCAAATACATATTTAATAAATAAATTACTTTGAGCAGTCCTGAGGGTCTGAAGGGGTCCTCGTTTGTCACATGACAAACAAATGGATTAAGTTACTGACTTTGATTTGGCGGATGTTTTTATTATTAATGTTTTGTTCTATCGGTAATATTTTAAAACAAAATTGTTTCACTGTTTATTTTCTTAAAGAAATAATAAACCGTGCCAAATACCAATCACTTTTTTTTACAATCTTCAGACAGTTACACCACCTAAAAATATCAAAAGAGACAAAAAGACTTTGTTCTTCATAGAAGGCTTTTTTTTTTGCTCGTTTGTTTATTTAAATTTCATCTTTAATGTATTTTTGTTTAGAGCAATACCGAACGTTGCAATGATATTGAACATGTATGCCAAATGTGTTTATTACAGACTGTCAAGATTTTTCTTGTCTTTTTGCAGCTTTTTTCACCATGAACATTTTTATCCACATGACCATTTGGCAGTATAAAGAAAGCAATACTTTATCATAACTTTAATTAAGATCACCAATGTGACATTACATTAGCTTAACAGATGATTGCTTCAAAAATTAGATAATAGTGAGAAATGTCTTGAAAATGTAGGTTCTTTTTTTAATATATCTTATCCACGGACCCCCTGGAGTATCTTCACGGACCCCCAGGTGTCAATGGGATCATTAAGAAACTGTAGCGGTCTGCTAGCATTTTTCACATATTATAAGGGTCACAGCACAAGAAAGGAGGGCAAGAGAAGGGAATGTGACTAAGCACCCTGCAGTGCCTCCTGTTTTGGGGACACAAGATTATTTCAGCTGTGAGGAGTTGTGCAAACAGCATGTACCCATTGACCTCTGCATTTAATTAAAAAAACCTTGAGTAGATTTTTTTTTTAATTTTACCAACAAATTCTAATTGAGAACAAAAATGCTTTTAGATCGAATGTGTATGTACTCTGCAGTCTGTCTTAGCAGTTTTTGTTTATTGACACTCAAGGCTAAATGTCTGGGCCAACATTTTGTTTCTATTAAATAAGAATGGTATGGTCTTCAAAAGTAACTGAAGACGCTATTTAGACACATAAAAACAGTGACAAATGCATTTAAATATAGGTGTGAATTACAGTTTTGAATTTATAAGAAAATTTGAGTGTGTATTCTTCCAGAGATTATTGAACTTTAATGGAAAATCTTAATTTATTGTTTCGAAAATAGAATCTGGTGTTTTAATAAATGTCTTTAGTCAGATCCATTGTGGCAATTATGTTCTTATCTAGCGATATCACACTAAAATGTGAACGCAAAAAATGAAGACCAGCCACAAAGGTGTGGTTGATGTCCGTCACTGCTTTGGAAAAGCCTCACTGAAGAGTTTTTTTAGAAAGCCTCACTGCCGGTGTAAGAGCTGGGACAACCAGATGGTACTGAACAAAGACTCATTGCTGTTTTTGACCTTTACATGTTTCAATAACCGCTATGTTCTAAACTTTGTTTGTGCTTCTCTGCCATCAATGTTTTGACAGATGTTTGCTTTTTTTTTTTTGCAGTGACATGGAAATGCAGCATGATCCAGATTTGCAGTTTAAACTGGCTTATCCAGATTCAGAAATAATCGACACGGGCATTAAAACCCGAGCGAGAGGCCAGTGGTCCAGTAAAGTGGAGTTTATCTTAGCTGTTGCTGGCCAGATCATTGGTTTGGGAAATGTGTGGAGATTTCCATATCTGTGTTACAAGAACGGTGGAGGTTTGTACTATGGTTTTACTGTATTACTGTGAGCTCTATTAAAAATCCATTCAAACCAGTTCAATGTTTGTTTGTTTATTTACTTTTTGGCCTTGTGTCTTATACTAGTGTGATGAACATAAACTGACTAAGAACAGCTACGTTTTCTGTTTTTAGGAGTGTTTTTCATTCCATATGTGGTCTTTCTGTTTGCCTGTGGCATTCCTCTTTTTCTTATGGAGACTGCTTTGGGTCAGTACACCAGCCAAGGGTCTGTTACCTGTTGGAGGAAAATCTGCCCACTATTTGAAGGTGAGTTTTCATTGTTCACTTTTAATGTCATTGTTAATGTACAATAGAGTAAATGCTGTTGTATGTCAACCACAGTGCTGTAAAATTTGATGCGTGTAGTAAACGTGTAGATTAGTGGTTTAGTAGACACCCAGCACACATCAATAGTGGTCTGAAATGTGAGAGGCTTCCTGTTTAAATATTAAATATTGTACCTTAAATATTAAGGTACTTTTGTACTAACCACAGTTTTGTAAAATTTGTCATACAAGTATGTTTAAATAACTTATGAACATATTCCTTTTCTAATGGGTCAACATCCTCTATTTATGCTTTCAAAATTTGTTTTGCTTTTGGTTTCTTGAAGTATCATCTCTCCATATTTACAGAAAATGTCAGGATGAAAACCACACACATTACTCTTCAACTTCTTGTTGAATTTCCCAGTTTTAAGTAGTTTTCTAAAGCCATTACTTTTACTTTTTGTAAAATGTGCAGTTATTTCTAATGATATAATCTAGTAATGAATTAATACTTGTAATAAACCTGTATGAAATTGTGTAAGGTTTATGCAAAAAAAATAAAAATTAAATAAATTTGTGATTCGTAATTGCAAGGCAAGCAATGGTCATAAATTAAATAGGTGTTTCATTTTCAAAGATTTTATGTTAATTCATAATTCTTCAAAAATAATTCATAATAAATTATTGATAAACAAATACTTATTTAACTTTAACTTATATACAGTAATAGTATGCAATATGGATCTCTCCAACACATTGAAGCTAAACATCAAACAAGCTGGTTTAAAAGGCTGATCTGTTATTGTCAGCAAAAGAAACGGGGTTAATTGTTTTGGCTTGCTTTTCTTTAGGTCTGGGTTATGGGAGTCAGGTGGTTGTCTTCTATTCCAGTGCCTACTACATCGTCATTTTGGCCTGGGCTTTCTTCTATCTCTTCTCTTCTTTTAGTGGTGAACTGCCATGGGCTAGCTGCAGGAACTGGTGGAATTCAGGTATGTTATAAAACTAGTTACTTTTTTCATTTTCAATAGATCATGCTTTTTATAAACAATTCCCTTCATCCTTACAGAAAACTGTGTTGAGTTTGACCGAATAGGAGGGATAAGAAACCTGAGCTTTATGGAGAATGCATCATCACCTGTTAAAGAATTTTGGGAGTAAGTTTATAAAATACCCAAACATTAGTTAGTTAGTTTATTTAAAATGAGTAATGATTAAATTAATAAGAGCTTAAAGGTAGGGCTGGACAATAATTCAATATCAATATGTATCGCGATATAATTTTTTTCAATAACGGTGATATGATTTTTAAACACACTTCCGATATTTCGATATACATTACCAGTTTCCCATACATTGATTTATTTGTGGCGTTTGACTTCGTCAAAAATGATGATAAAGACATTTATGTTACAAAAGATTTCTATTTCAGATAAATACTGTTCTTCTGAACGTTCTATGCATCAAAGAAACTTAAAAAATCTACTCCGCTGTTTTCAACATCATAATAATAAATGTTTTTTGAGCAGCAAATCAGAATATTAGAATGATTTCTGAAGGATCATGTGACTGGAGTAATGATGCTAAAGCTCTGCTTTGAAATCACAGGAATAAATTATATTTTCAAATAGAAAACAGTTATTTTAAATAGTAAAAATATTTCAAAATGTTACTGTTTTTGCTGTATTTTGGATCAAATAAATGCAGGCTTGGTGAGCAGAAGAGAATTCTTTAAAAAACATTAAAAATCTTACTGTTCAAAAACTTTTGACTGGTATGTTAGCCTATAGTTTGAAGTAAAAAATATTAATATTAATAAGGAGAGTCTGAGATTTATTTGACAGTGATTTCACATTTCTTGTTTGTATGAAGGCTAAATACCAATAAAAGGTGAACATTTATTAAAATATTTATAAAAATATTTTATAGTTTTATAGGAGTAGGTTTCATAGAGTTGGCAAATTAATTTTTCTTAAGTTTGTAGGCACAGACATCTGTTGTGGCCGTTCTTGGCCGTTTTTATGAGGCTTTTTTAATAGTGTTCATATCGATATCAGAATTATATCGTATCGGCCAAAATTAAGAAATATATCGTGATATAAATTTTGGCCGTATCGTCCAGCCCTACTTAAAGGTAATAGTGTAGTCTTAAAGGGGTCATATGATGCTTTTTTAAAGATCATTATTTTGTGTATTTGGTGTAACAGAATATGTTGACATGCTTTAATGTTCAAAAAACACATTATTTTTCAAATACTGTACATTATTGTAGGTCCTCTATGCCCCGCCTCTCTCAAACGCTTCGTTTTCTACAAAGTCCCTCCTTCCGACAAGCGCAGTCTGCTCTGATTGGCCTGCTGACCCAGTGCATTGTGATTGGCCGAACACCGCAAGCACTCGTCGGAACTGTAACTCCGCGAGCTTCATCGCGAGCTTCATCTTTCAATAAATGTAAAGACAGAGCCCGAAAGGGGAACAGAGTCGCGTGACAGACACAGTGATGAAGCTGGTATATCCCCCCCCCCCCCCCCCCTCTCTCTCTCTCCCGCTCGCTCGCTCTCTCTCTCTCCCGCTCTCTCTCTCTCTCTAGATCTCTCCAAATAAAGTGTTTTGCTTTCACCTAGAAACACACAGTGTCTCCCTGACATCGCTGCTTCAACACTAACTGCGGTTACTGAAACATGGACGCGCGTGCAGTTGCCATACTGTATTAAAGCTTTAATCAGGATAAAACCGTAAATTAAAAGCTAACATAAGCAGTAGCATTTACAAATAACAGCATATCTAAAAGTATGAGACAACAACAAACAAAAAACATATGCGTACCATTAAAAGCTGTGCTTGCACAGGTTCTGCTTCTCAATCGGGCTCAAACTGATAAGCGATAGTGTTGGGTCGTTCTTGAACGAATCTTTAATGTGACTCGGGAAGAACGAGTCGTCTCGGGGAGTGATTCGTTCAGTCGTGCATGCGCAACATCATATAGGTTCTGTACTGGAATTAGTCAAGTAGTTCACCTGTTCCGAGTCGTTCGTTCATCACATGACAGCCCCATAAGCTTTAACCAATGCAGTCTGAGCCGGAAAGAGAATTGATTAGTTCATCTCTCGAGTCTTTGGGTTTTTCCAAGTCGTTCGTTCATCACGTGACAGCCCCATAAGCTTTTACCAATGCAGTCTGAGCCGGAAAGAGAATTAATTAGTTAATCTCTCGAGTCTTCGGGTTTTTCCGAGTCATTCATTCATCACGTGACAGCCCCATAAGCCCAAACCCGAAGACTTCTCAGATAAGAGGTGAGGTGAGCTAATCATAGACTGAAGACCCAGGTAAACAATGAATTAATCTTTTCTGTTTCTTATAGCAGTTTTGTATTGTTTGTAGTGGGATCAACGTTTGCGTAAGTAGTAGACATATTAGGGAAGTAACACGTAACATTTTAATTATATTTTGCTAAAATGAACGAAATGACTCGAAAAAAGATTCGTTCATTTTGCTGAACGAGACTCAAAGGTCTGAGTCGGTAAAATGATCCGAACTTCCCATCACTAATAAGCGATATTAACCGTATTGATGCCGTTATGCCGCTGAAGTGAGGGCGGGACGGTTAGATGCACAATAGAGGCGGTTTAGCCAATCACAACACACTGGGCTAGCTAACCAATCAGAGCCCATCGCCTATTTCTGAGGGCGGGGCTTCATAAAAGCAGGACATGATCAGCGCATTTCTCAGAGAAGGGACAGAGTGGTGTGGAATAAAGGTAAAGTATGTGAAAAATAATGCGTTTTTTTTAAACTAAGCATTAACACATGTTAGACTGCACCCCATAAACACAATCATGCCTAGAAAAAAAACAGTGAACCACCCCTTTATAGGTTCTATAGTGAATATAAAACTTTCCAGTTATGCTCTGCTTTAATTATTAACTGTGGTGAGCAATATGTGCTTCTTTAGGGGGCCATATTAAAATCACATTTATAGTAATTTAAAGTACAAGTAGTGCAAGTATAATAAATTTAAAGGGATAGTTCACCCAGAAATAAAAATTACCCATCACTTACTCACTGTCAAGCCATCCTGGGTGTATATGACTTTCTTCTTTCAGACGATTACAATCGGAGTTATATTAAAAAATGTTCTGGCTATTCCAAGCTTTATGATGGTAGTGAATGGTGTCCGAGATTTTTTTTTAAAGTGCATCCATCCATCATAAAAGAGGTCCACACGGCTCTGGGGGGGTTAATAAAGGCCTTCTGAAGTGATTACTGTTTATAAAGTTTTAAATATGGATATTTTTCTTACACAAACACATCTATTTGCTTCAGAAGGCCTTTATTAAGCCCTCGAGCAATGAGGAGTACTTTTTATGATGGATTTATGCACTTTATTTTGCTTCAAAATCTCAATCACTATTCACTACCATTATAAAGCTTGCAAGAGCCAGGAGATTTTTTAATATAACTCCGATTGTATTCGTCTGAAAAAAGAAAGTCATATACACCTAGGGTGGCTTAAGGGTGAGTAAACCATTGGGCAATTTTCATTTCTGGGTGAACTATCCCTTTAAACACCAAATGTGTAATAACACTAAATGCAAGCATAACTTTCAAGTGTAATTCTTGTTGATACATGAATTTGAAAATAAAGTTATGGGAATTACAGAGAATGTATTTTGTAGGAGGCGAGTATTGAATATAACTGGAAGTGTGAATGAGCTGGGCAGTTTGAGATGGGAGCTGGCTCTGTGTCTCCTGCTGGCCTGGATCATTTGCTACTTCTGTGTGTGGAAGGGAGTGAAGTCCACAGGCAAGGTGAGAACTAACTGAAAAGGCACTTTTCGGAAGACGTGTGTGTGTGTGTGTGTGTGGGGGGGGTTATATATATATATATATAGATATATATAGATAGATTTAAATCGGGTACGCTGGATTTCAAAACGGGAGTGCCCTTGTCTTTATTTTTCAGGTTGTGTATTTCACTGCTACATTTCCATATGTTATGCTGCTGGTGCTTCTGATTCGAGGTCTTACGTTGCCTGGAGCCATTGATGGCATCACCTTCTACCTCTACCCAAATCCAGCACGCCTTACAGACCCACAGGTAGGCAAATCTTAAGTCTCATATGAGTGCTGATGGCAGTAGAGTAGATGATTAAGCATTTTCCACTTAAAGACGTTTGCAACTAAAGAAATGAATAGTACTTTGGTCAGTACTTTTGTTTACAATGATGTACACTCACATGACCATCAGACCAGTCAAATCAGTGGCCTAGGAAAACTAGTTCCCCTTTCACAATGGCCTCAATATTGAGATCACCCGACCAGTCTGATGTTACTCATTTAACTTGCTTATTTCGCAAGTTTATTATTAAACATCTTTAGTTGAGGAATAAATTAATAACAGATTTACTGGTTGAATAGTGTATTTATTTGAACTATGTGATGATGCATCCACATCTGTCAGTGCCACTATAACGGTACAAGACTACTGTTTTATCAGCCAGTGACACAAAAATACTTGGAGCTTATAGTAAAGACAAAATTGTAGTTAGTAAAAATTATTTGTACAACTGATTAAGCTTTTGAAATAACTAATCACTAAATAACGAATCATCAGTGAAACCAAATCATTCAGAAACATAACTTGGATGTTTCTGAGTGTAACCAGACCAGACCATTCATGTATCATGTATTGCTAAATACCTAATGGATTGGTCAGTAGTTGTGAACTTGCCTTCTCTTGTCTTTAGGTATGGATGGATGCTGGAACACAAATATTTTACTCTTACGCTCTCTGCTTTAAAGGGATAGTTCACCCAGAAATAAAAATTACCCATCACTTACTCACTGTCAAGCCATCCTGGGTGTATATGACTTTCTTCTTTCAGACGATTACAATCGGAGTTATATTAAAAAATGTTCTGGCTATTCCAAGCTTTATGATGGTAGTGAATGGTGTCCGAGATTTTTTTTTAAAGTGCATCCATCCATCATAAAAGAGGTCCACACGGCTCTGGGGGGGTTAATAAAGGCCTTCTGAAGTGATTACTGTTTATAAAGTTTTAAATATGGATATTTTTCTTACACAAACACATCTATTTGCTTCAGAAGGCCTTTATTAAGCCCTCGAGCAATGAGGAGTACTTTTTATGATGGATTTATGCACTTTATTTTGCTTCAAAATCTCAATCACTATTCACTACCATTATAAAGCTTGCAAGAGCCAGGAGATTTTTTAATATAACTCCGATTGTATTCGTCTGAAAAAAGAAAGTCATATACACCTAGGGTGGCTTAAGGGTGAGTAAACCATTGGGCAATTTTCATTTCTGGGTGAACTATCCCTTTAAACACCAAATGTGTAATAACACTAAATGCAAGCATAACTTTCAAGTGTAATTCTTGTTGATACATGAATTTGAAAATAAAGTTATGGGAATTACAGAGAATGTATTTTGTAGGAGGCGAGTATTGAATATAACTGGAAGTGTGAATGAGCTGGGCAGTTTGAGATGGGAGCTGGCTCTGTGTCTCCTGCTGGCCTGGATCATTTGCTACTTCTGTGTGTGGAAGGGAGTGAAGTCCACAGGCAAGGTGAGAACTAACTGAAAAGGCACTTTTCGGAAGACGTGTGTGTGTGTGTGTGTGTGGGGGGGGTTATATATATATATATATAGATATATATAGATAGATTTAAATCGGGTACGCTGGATTTCAAAACGGGAGTGCCCTTGTCTTTATTTTTCAGGTTGTGTATTTCACTGCTACATTTCCATATGTTATGCTGCTGGTGCTTCTGATTCGAGGTCTTACGTTGCCTGGAGCCATTGATGGCATCACCTTCTACCTCTACCCAAATCCAGCACGCCTTACAGACCCACAGGTAGGCAAATCTTAAGTCTCATATGAGTGCTGATGGCAGTAGAGTAGATGATTAAGCATTTTCCACTTAAAGACGTTTGCAACTAAAGAAATGAATAGTACTTTGGTCAGTACTTTTGTTTACAATGATGTACACTCACATGACCATCAGACCAGTCAAATCAGTGGCCTAGGAAAACTAGTTCCCCTTTCACAATGGCCTCAATATTGAGATCACCCGACCAGTCTGATGTTACTCATTTAACTTGCTTATTTCGCAAGTTTATTATTAAACATCTTTAGTTGAGGAATAAATTAATAACAGATTTACTGGTTGAATAGTGTATTTATTTGAACTATGTGATGATGCATCCACATCTGTCAGTGCCACTATAACGGTACAAGACTACTGTTTTATCAGCCAGTGACACAAAAATACTTGGAGCTTATAGTAAAGACAAAATTGTAGTTAGTAAAAATTATTTGTACAACTGATTAAGCTTTTGAAATAACTAATCACTAAATAACGAATCATCAGTGAAACCAAATCATTCAGAAACATAACTTGGATGTTTCTGAGTGTAACCAGACCAGACCATTCATGTATCATGTATTGCTAAATACCTAATGGATTGGTCAGTAGTTGTGAACTTGCCTTCTCTTGTCTTTAGGTATGGATGGATGCTGGAACACAAATATTTTACTCTTACGCTCTCTGCATTGGGTGCCTTACAGCATTGGGAAGCTACAATAAATACAACAACAACTGCTACAAGTAAGCAAACCCATTGTCATGAGAAACAGCGTTCAATTCAGTTTACATTTAAATCCATATATGTGCGTTTAGAAATATTTGTGGAGGCAATAGATGTTCTTATCTGTATATATGCAGGATTAAATATCAGAAGTACATTATGCAGTAAGACATTACATTCGCTTTAACAGCATGCTTTGTCTTTCTGCTTGTAGAGATTGTGTTTACCTGTGCCTGCTGAACAGCGGAACCAGTTTTGTAGCTGGCTTTGCCATCTTTTCAGTTTTGGGCTTCATGGCCTTCGAACAGGGGGTCGATATCTCAATGGTAGCAGAGTCAGGTAACTTAAACAACAGTGTCTTCTTTATGTCATGTCCTTTATGTCATTTTCTACACATTAAGGCTCAATTCACTTGTTTTGCCAGGTCCTGGCTTGGCCTTCATTGCGTATCCACGAGCTGTAGCTATGATGCCTCTGTCTCAGCTGTGGTCCATATGTTTCTTCCTCATGATTATTCTGCTGGGGCTTGACAGTGAGGTGAGAGCACATCATCTCTCAAGTACATGATGTGTTTGACTGTGTGAAAATTTCAGTTAGGTTTTTATTAACTACTGCCCACATGAAGCTATTTAGCATAGCAGATATATTCATATTCTGTATCCTGTTGAAAAGTACCCTTTGTTCATGACTTTTGTGCATGCAATATTCTTTCAGTAAATGTGTTATGCAACTTTTTCAAGGCAGTACTACGTTAAAAACAAAACGCTGTCATTACACCTCATTCTCTTTTTCAGTTTGTGGGTTTAGAGTCTCTCATGACAGCCATAACAGACATGCACTCCAACTTCTTCCTCCAAGGACATCGTCGTAAACTCTTCCTCCTCCTCATTTGTGTGGGCTGCTTCCTCGTTGGCCTCCTGATGGTAACCGAGGTGATTATGTTCATAATTTGGTCATTTCTGTGGGTTTGTTTTGTTTGTCTGTCTAAATTAGACCACTTAATGACTAATTAAAAAATCTGAGATTTGAGCTCTGATCAATGTGATATTTTTTGCATTGATTCAATAGGGTGGCCTGTATATCTTCCAATTATTTGATTACTATTCCTGCAGTGGAATGACCCTCCTCCTATTTGCCATTGCACAGTCAATATGTATTGGCTGGTTTTATGGTGAGTAATAATACTGAATCAGCACTTAAGAGCACAGAAGATGTATAAAAAAGAATTTAAAACCTTTTAATACCTTGCACAACTGAATATTATAATGTTCTTCTCCAATATTTGATCATTATTTGTTAAATTACTGCAGGTTTTTGTGTGGAAATACCGTTTCAAAGATAGCACAACTTTTCTAATATGCTTAACTACAACTCTACCAGAGTAATTGGTGCATTAAGTGCCTTCTTCAAGGACACTAGTGGTGCTACAGTCACCTTTATGTAAAACCTGCAGCTTTTGTGTTGTTAGCCACGATTTTCTATCAAAGCCACCACCATACTTCAGCATCGTGTTTATAGTAAAGCTGGGCCATGTGTCATAAACAATAAGAACTAAGCATAAAACTGGTAAACAGTCTTTTAATATGCACAGGTAATTTACTTGGTCACTTCATCCGTATTGTTTTGTGTGTGATCTCCTTTAAGACCTCTGATTCCAATGTCTCTGGTTTTTCAGGTGCTGATCGTCTGTATGAAAATATTGTAGACATGATCGGTTATCGTCCTTTGACACTAATGAAATACAGTTGGAAATATATCACTCCTATTGTGTGTATAGTAAGTGCATGATTCACTCTCATTCACTGGTCACGTGAGGCAAAATGCAGTGATATTTTAGTTCTCCACCAAAGTCAAAATTTTATTTATGAACATCAGAGCTCTTTATTATGCGTTCAGCATTAATTCAATACACATATTTGCTTCTTTAGGGCACATTTGTCTTCTCTTTGGTCAAATTCACTCCTCTGAAGTTTAACAACACATTTGAATACCCATGGTGGGGTTATGCTGTTGGCTGGTGGTTTACCCTCTCCTCGACATTGATGGTTCCCATATGGATGATCTATGTCATCATTATCACTCCTGGTACACTGAAACAGGTAATTCCATGTATAATTTAACAGAAAACAACACTAAGCCATGTTCAAAGCACTGAACCTGCATCTATATGCTTTCACATTTTTTAGAGACTGCGTATCCTTTGCACTCCAGCAAGCGATCTACCTTTGACATCGGAAAGACGAAAAGAAACCCTGTGACCCCAACAGACAGTACAACATGTCCCATGACTGATAGAGAAACATTGGGGGACAAAAAACATCCTTGGGCTGTATTTTGGACAACTTTTGATATCATTAATGCCTTTGAAGGTACACATTCTCGTGAGATCTCAAGAAAGCACAAACACAAACTGTACATGACTGTTTTATAAGTTATTGAATTTTCCTAACTTATATTCTCAATTGCAAGCAACTAAATGTGGATTTAAACTGGAAATTAAAAATATAAGCTCAACTTCCATGTTCAGCTGTATCTGAGGAAAACTCAGTTTGACGTCATCAACGTCTAGCATCGTTGGCTAGCATCAACAGCTTGCTGTATCATAACCATTCACAAGATATCAGTTCTTCTGAAGAAGATAGCAAAAAAACAGTTTTTTTTATCATGAGGGAGTGGACCGGCCCCATTTTGGATGGACCATTGTTTATTACAGTTGATATAAGATTAGAAAATGTTGGATAATGTGTTAACCTTCAGTTAGAGCGATGAACATTTGGTTCATTTCTTATCAAAATTTGGAATGTAACAGTATTTTAGAATAGTAACTTTAATTTTACATTTTTATGGGTCAATCATGCAACACTTGGCTGTTTTGTGCCTATAGTCAAGTGCTGGTGTTTTAAGAAAGTGTTTCAGAAAGTAAAGATCCATCAAGAAAATAGATCCATATTTTGCTACTTAAATCTGCTTAGATGTACAGTCTGTATTCTATATTCTACAAACTATGTTTTTAGTCAAATGCATAATTTAAGGGAATAGCTATAGGTCATTTAAGCTTATGTACATTTGTATAGCTGATGCTCTAGAAAAGCCAGTGGTAAATGTTCTAATAAATGCTCTGTTCAAATCAACAGTCAAATGATTGCTGGTTGAAATATGTTGGTGACAGCAGCTTGTTTTTGCTTTTAGAGATTGTTCTGAAGCATCCAAGCAAATATTAAACAACTAGGTAAAAGGTGAAAGAAGGTTGAGTTTTGAATTCTTGGAAAAAAGTTGTTGGAGAATAACGTTAGACACGTTTGCTGTCAGACATCACAGACTGCCAGTTGTATACTGTACTGCTGTTTTACTGAGGTGCCGCAATGTGATTTATTAATATAAATAATTACCAGTGTAGTTGACATAATGACAGTCAATGAAAATCCTACATTTGAACTGCCACTTCATTTGCATGATTACAGGAGATTAAAGTTATATGCAGATTAACGGGAAAAAACTAAATCTGAGTATATATCATGATAGTGGTGGATGGTAGAGTTTAACTTTGAAACTTTTTATCATTTTCAAAAATGAAAAGCCAGTGATGATGCGCTTCTTTAGTCTACAACTGGGTTAAAGGTTTAAGACCTCCATTTGCAAATAGACACTCTGGCCAAAAAGGCCACCCAAACACTGTTTGGCAGAGGATGAAAGAGCAGAATGTTTGCACTGCTAAACATTGTGTTCCGGGGAATAGAGGGGAATGGATTTCTTGTGATATGGATTTGTAAAGTGGGCCAATTACAATGTAGTTTAATTTGTGAATTATGTCTGTACACAATTTGTTGCTCTTGCACACAGTTTGGTTTCTAAAGCAGAATATTATATGAGTAATGAAATGCAAAAGTGATTAAATAAACAGAACATTTTGACACTATTTGCTAAAGTGGTTATTTTGAAATAAGTATTTACTTAAATAGTAAAAAAAAATTGCAAATTAATTTCAAATTTAATTTGCATATAGTGACAATTCTTTGACATTTAACTATTGCCACTATATTTACACATCACTTAGTTTTTCCCGAGGCCTTTTGTCCCAGATGTGGGGTAAAAGGTCCCTCTAGCTGCCTCTATGATAAACTTATTTTACCATTACCATAAAAATAGTTTCAAATATTCACACACACACACACACACACGTACAGTATATATATATTTATTTTCTGAAATAGGACCTTTTGTCTTTCTTGTACCCTTTGTAATCATTTTATGTTCTAAGACACAAATAACTGTTCACAGTTAATGCAACTGATATATGGAGTGAATGATATGTTTCCAATTAGTTTGGTGTTGGTATGAATTTTTAAATGTTTTTGAAATAAGTCTCTTATTCTCACCAAGGCTGCATTTATTTGATCAAAGTACATTAAAAAGTAACAGCATTTACTGTATTTGAAATAAAAAATATTTGTAACATCATAAATGTCTTAACTGTCTATATTTTTTGTCAATTTAATGTGTCCTTGTAAATAATTATTTTATTTTTTTTAAGTTTTAGAAAAACAACAACAACTTACTAACCCCAAATATTTGAACAGTTGTGTACATAATATTTCTGAAAAGCATGTTCATAGATGTTTAGTGTGTAAATGTCAGACATTGAGTGCAAACAACTACAAAACACAGGACAGTTAAACAGTTTTCTTTGAATATTTATTGACAGGCCTACTGTAATGCATCAAACTGTAAACAGAAAAAAGTTAACAAACAGTGACACAAAAATACTTGGAGCTTATAGTAAAGACAAAATTGTAGTTAGTAAAAATTATTTGTACAACTGATTAAGCTTTTGAAATAACTAATCACTAAATAACGAATCATCAGTGAAACCAAATCATTCAGAAACATAACTTGGATGTTTCTGAGTGTAACCAGACCAGACCATTCATGTATCATGTATTGCTAAATACCTAATGGATTGGTCAGTAGTTGTGAACTTGCCTTCTCTTGTCTTTAGGTATGGATGGATGCTGGAACACAAATATTTTACTCTTACGCTCTCTGCATTGGGTGCCTTACAGCATTGGGAAGCTACAATAAATACAACAACAACTGCTACAAGTAAGCAAACCCATTGTCATGAGAAACAGCGTTCAATTCAGTTTACATTTAAATCCATATATGTGCGTTTAGAAATATTTGTGGAGGCAATAGATGTTCTTATCTGTATATATGCAGGATTAAATATCAGAAGTACATTATGCAGTAAGACATTACATTCGCTTTAACAGCATGCTTTGTCTTTCTGCTTGTAGAGATTGTGTTTACCTGTGCCTGCTGAACAGCGGAACCAGTTTTGTAGCTGGCTTTGCCATCTTTTCAGTTTTGGGCTTCATGGCCTTCGAACAGGGGGTCGATATCTCAATGGTAGCAGAGTCAGGTAACTTAAACAACAGTGTCTTCTTTATGTCATGTCCTTTATGTCATTTTCTACACATTAAGGCTCAATTCACTTGTTTTGCCAGGTCCTGGCTTGGCCTTCATTGCGTATCCACGAGCTGTAGCTATGATGCCTCTGTCTCAGCTGTGGTCCATATGTTTCTTCCTCATGATTATTCTGCTGGGGCTTGACAGTGAGGTGAGAGCACATCATCTCTCAAGTACATGATGTGTTTGACTGTGTGAAAATTTCAGTTAGGTTTTTATTAACTACTGCCCACATGAAGCTATTTAGCATAGCAGATATATTCATATTCTGTATCCTGTTGAAAAGTACCCTTTGTTCATGACTTTTGTGCATGCAATATTCTTTCAGTAAATGTGTTATGCAACTTTTTCAAGGCAGTACTACGTTAAAAACAAAACGCTGTCATTACACCTCATTCTCTTTTTCAGTTTGTGGGTTTAGAGTCTCTCATGACAGCCATAACAGACATGCACTCCAACTTCTTCCTCCAAGGACATCGTCGTAAACTCTTCCTCCTCCTCATTTGTGTGGGCTGCTTCCTCGTTGGCCTCCTGATGGTAACCGAGGTGATTATGTTCATAATTTGGTCATTTCTGTGGGTTTGTTTTGTTTGTCTGTCTAAATTAGACCACTTAATGACTAATTAAAAAATCTGAGATTTGAGCTCTGATCAATGTGATATTTTTTGCATTGATTCAATAGGGTGGCCTGTATATCTTCCAATTATTTGATTACTATTCCTGCAGTGGAATGACCCTCCTCCTATTTGCCATTGCACAGTCAATATGTATTGGCTGGTTTTATGGTGAGTAATAATACTGAATCAGCACTTAAGAGCACAGAAGATGTATAAAAAAGAATTTAAAACCTTTTAATACCTTGCACAACTGAATATTATAATGTTCTTCTCCAATATTTGATCATTATTTGTTAAATTACTGCAGGTTTTTGTGTGGAAATACCGTTTCAAAGATAGCACAACTTTTCTAATATGCTTAACTACAACTCTACCAGAGTAATTGGTGCATTAAGTGCCTTCTTCAAGGACACTAGTGGTGCTACAGTCACCTTTATGTAAAACCTGCAGCTTTTGTGTTGTTAGCCACGATTTTCTATCAAAGCCACCACCATACTTCAGCATCGTGTTTATAGTAAAGCTGGGCCATGTGTCATAAACAATAAGAACTAAGCATAAAACTGGTAAACAGTCTTTTAATATGCACAGGTAATTTACTTGGTCACTTCATCCGTATTGTTTTGTGTGTGATCTCCTTTAAGACCTCTGATTCCAATGTCTCTGGTTTTTCAGGTGCTGATCGTCTGTATGAAAATATTGTAGACATGATCGGTTATCGTCCTTTGACACTAATGAAATACAGTTGGAAATATATCACTCCTATTGTGTGTATAGTAAGTGCATGATTCACTCTCATTCACTGGTCACGTGAGGCAAAATGCAGTGATATTTTAGTTCTCCACCAAAGTCAAAATTTTATTTATGAACATCAGAGCTCTTTATTATGCGTTCAGCATTAATTCAATACACATATTTGCTTCTTTAGGGCACATTTGTCTTCTCTTTGGTCAAATTCACTCCTCTGAAGTTTAACAACACATTTGAATACCCATGGTGGGGTTATGCTGTTGGCTGGTGGTTTACCCTCTCCTCGACATTGATGGTTCCCATATGGATGATCTATGTCATCATTATCACTCCTGGTACACTGAAACAGGTAATTCCATGTATAATTTAACAGAAAACAACACTAAGCCATGTTCAAAGCACTGAACCTGCATCTATATGCTTTCACATTTTTTAGAGACTGCGTATCCTTTGCACTCCAGCAAGCGATCTACCTTTGACATCGGAAAGACGAAAAGAAACCCTGTGACCCCAACAGACAGTACAACATGTCCCATGACTGATAGAGAAACATTGGGGGACAAAAAACATCCTTGGGCTGTATTTTGGACAACTTTTGATATCATTAATGCCTTTGAAGGTACACATTCTCGTGAGATCTCAAGAAAGCACAAACACAAACTGTACATGACTGTTTTATAAGTTATTGAATTTTCCTAACTTATATTCTCAATTGCAAGCAACTAAATGTGGATTTAAACTGGAAATTAAAAATATAAGCTCAACTTCCATGTTCAGCTGTATCTGAGGAAAACTCAGTTTGACGTCATCAACGTCTAGCATCGTTGGCTAGCATCAACAGCTTGCTGTATCATAACCATTCACAAGATATCAGTTCTTCTGAAGAAGATAGCAAAAAAACAGTTTTTTTTATCATGAGGGAGTGGACCGGCCCCATTTTGGATGGACCATTGTTTATTACAGTTGATATAAGATTAGAAAATGTTGGATAATGTGTTAACCTTCAGTTAGAGCGATGAACATTTGGTTCATTTCTTATCAAAATTTGGAATGTAACAGTATTTTAGAATAGTAACTTTAATTTTACATTTTTATGGGTCAATCATGCAACACTTGGCTGTTTTGTGCCTATAGTCAAGTGCTGGTGTTTTAAGAAAGTGTTTCAGAAAGTAAAGATCCATCAAGAAAATAGATCCATATTTTGCTACTTAAATCTGCTTAGATGTACAGTCTGTATTCTATATTCTACAAACTATGTTTTTAGTCAAATGCATAATTTAAGGGAATAGCTATAGGTCATTTAAGCTTATGTACATTTGTATAGCTGATGCTCTAGAAAAGCCAGTGGTAAATGTTCTAATAAATGCTCTGTTCAAATCAACAGTCAAATGATTGCTGGTTGAAATATGTTGGTGACAGCAGCTTGTTTTTGCTTTTAGAGATTGTTCTGAAGCATCCAAGCAAATATTAAACAACTAGGTAAAAGGTGAAAGAAGGTTGAGTTTTGAATTCTTGGAAAAAAGTTGTTGGAGAATAACGTTAGACACGTTTGCTGTCAGACATCACAGACTGCCAGTTGTATACTGTACTGCTGTTTTACTGAGGTGCCGCAATGTGATTTATTAATATAAATAATTACCAGTGTAGTTGACATAATGACAGTCAATGAAAATCCTACATTTGAACTGCCACTTCATTTGCATGATTACAGGAGATTAAAGTTATATGCAGATTAACGGGAAAAAACTAAATCTGAGTATATATCATGATAGTGGTGGATGGTAGAGTTTAACTTTGAAACTTTTTATCATTTTCAAAAATGAAAAGCCAGTGATGATGCGCTTCTTTAGTCTACAACTGGGTTAAAGGTTTAAGACCTCCATTTGCAAATAGACACTCTGGCCAAAAAGGCCACCCAAACACTGTTTGGCAGAGGATGAAAGAGCAGAATGTTTGCACTGCTAAACATTGTGTTCCGGGGAATAGAGGGGAATGGATTTCTTGTGATATGGATTTGTAAAGTGGGCCAATTACAATGTAGTTTAATTTGTGAATTATGTCTGTACACAATTTGTTGCTCTTGCACACAGTTTGGTTTCTAAAGCAGAATATTATATGAGTAATGAAATGCAAAAGTGATTAAATAAACAGAACATTTTGACACTATTTGCTAAAGTGGTTATTTTGAAATAAGTATTTACTTAAATAGTAAAAAAAAATTGCAAATTAATTTCAAATTTAATTTGCATATAGTGACAATTCTTTGACATTTAACTATTGCCACTATATTTACACATCACTTAGTTTTTCCCGAGGCCTTTTGTCCCAGATGAAGGTCCCAAGGTCCCTCTAGCTGCCTCTATGATAAACTTATTTTACCATTACCATAAAAATAGTTTCAAATATTCACACACACACACACACACACACGTACAGTATATATATATTTATTTTCTGAAATAGGACCTTTTGTCTTTCTTGTACCCTTTGTAATCATTTTATGTTCTAAGACACAAATAACTGTTCACAGTTAATGCAACTGATATATGGAGTGAATGATATGTTTCCAATTAGTTTGGTGTTGGTATGAATTTTTAAATGTTTTTTAAATAAGTCTCTTATTCTCACCAAGGCTGCATTTATTTGATCAAAGTACATTAAAAAGTAACAGCATTTACTGTATTTGAAATAAAAAATATTTGTAACATCATAAATGTCTTAACTGTCTATATTTTTTGTCAATTTAATGTGTCCTTGTAAATAATTATTTTATTTTTTTTTAAGTTTTAGAAAAACAACAACAACATACTAACCCCAAATATTTGAACAGTTGTGTACATAATATTTCTGAAAAGCATGTTCATAGATGTTTAGTGTGTAAATGTCAGACATTGAGTGCAAACAACTACAAAACACAGGACAGTTAAACAGTTTTCTTTGAATATTTATTGACAGGCCTACTGTAATGCATCAAACTGTAAACAGAAAAAAGTTAACAAACAAGTTTATTATTAATATTAAAACTGTCTGAAACATGGGGAACATACTGAAAAACATGCAAACCACACTAGTTAGTATTTGATCAAATAAACAAGTGGGTTTTAAGACAACAGTTCTTTGAAATATTCCTATCATGTCAAAAGATTAGTCAAAAGCATTTGAGCTTTAAACTGTAATGGAAACTCAGCTCAAAAATATAGCTATTGAACTTCAGTCAAGTATATCTACCGGGTTCCGGGTTCAAACTAACCTGCAGATGTTTTAAAATACAGTCCCAAATCGAGGACACTCCCAGGATGCAGTAAAGAAGCATGCACCAGTCTCTCAAAAGTATCAAAAGTGTGTTTGTGAATGTAGGCCTGCCTCAAAATAGGTTTTTCCCAAAGGGAGGATTGCACTTTTAGGTCCAGCTACCCATTATGGTCACTTGAATCTAAATATCAGACACACTTATACAAATATAGTACAAAAAATATCAAGCCCCCAGTACACAGCCCTCCACTGCAAATTTATACTCCTAATCTGATAATGCACAAAGTCAATGCAATTACACTAAATACTGTACAGTACATGGTAAGGTACTAGGTTGTATTCAAGTCTATAATGCTTTTGCATTAATGCAGCGGATGAATGCCTTTCTGATAGCCGAGGCATGCACCGTACAGGTTTACAGGTGGTCATAGAATTGTGCGCTTTGGTTTTTGTTGTTGTTTGTCTTTGTTGTTGTAGGAATGTCATTAAGGTCTGCAGCTCCTCAACATCTATAAATATTATGCAAACCTTTCCCAGCATTTGCTTTCAGTCTGAGCGATAATGAGGTCTGAGGTCAAGGTGTATGAGGGCTCATCCACACCTCTACCCATTGCCTCTTTCATGACGCAATCGAAGATGGACCAGCCATCCCCACAGCCTGACCTCCTTGCTTGGGCCTCCTGAATAGCGTCTGGAGTTTTAGGAGCCGTCCTGACTGAGACAAGGTCTCTTTAGTCCCTGCATATTCTGATCTGAAATTCCACTCTCTTCTTTTTTCCTTTTTAATCGGCCCACCTAAAAACAGAAACAAAGTTTTTAAATGCTGAAACTAATAGTGTTTTCAGAGAGGTTAAAACAAGATATTAACTATTAAAAGGAATTGTAGTTTGCCCACAAACAAAAATATTAAAATAATCAAACCTAGATTTAACCTCTAAAATAAAATGCTTACTTTTAATTTTTCCTCAATCATTTTTTTAAATTGAAGAACACATACTGTAGTTCTGGAATACAGAACATAATTGCTGAAATCACAAAAATAAATTGTAGTTAATTTAAAATATTCAGCATTCTTCTTAGTATATATTGGCTTGAGAACCACTGATTTAAACCCAATACGTAAATGTAATTTCCATATATGAAACTGTCATATGAAGTAAAAACATATATGAAATCTATTAGAAATTGAAAAAATTAATATACGTGTGTGTTTTAATAAAATTCCATATATAAATAAAAAACATATTGTTGACTAATATATTGTTAAATACTACGGGTGTAACGGTACACGTATTCGTACCGTACCGAACCGTTTCGGTACGGGTCTTTCGGTTCGGTACGCATGTGTACCGCACGAATACAGTTTTTTTTTCTTCTTCTTCTTCTTCTTCTTCTTCTTCTTCTCAGGAAATTAAAATAATAAATGGCGTTTGACCGTCTTTTATGTGGCACGACAGATCGCTGTATAAACGCCTTAGAGAGCCGCTTCTGGGACGGTTCAGAAACGTGCTGCTGGTATAATCCCAACACAAGCACTGACTAGAGCGGCCGCGATCAGCTCCGGTTCCCGTGTCTGAGCCGTGACGCCCCGCAGATTTGTGCAGAGCGGAGCGCGAGTGAACTCGATCATTCCTTCCTCTGTACTACTAGTTTTAACGCGAATAAACATGACTGAACATCTCATGCCTCATGTAATTGCTCAATCAGTGTTTCAACCGCGGAAAGACATCAACAATACAGCGTGGAAATAAAACACAGCTCGTTAGTTCACTAGAGAAATTAAGTCTAGAGAGGAGCATTATATTTTATAATGAGTATATGGCAGACCCTTAATTACTTAACGTACAGTATGTTTAAATTAATCTGTTATGAAACATGCTATGACAGCCGTTGTGTAATTGAATATATTTTAACAAATAACTTAGAAATTGTATTATTTATAAGTTAATTTAAAAACTGCATTATGTGCAATTTACATGTTTGCATACAATTTTATATTTCTTTTTAAGTTGAGTGTTGATCATCTATTTAAAAATAAATAGCAATTAAATTTAAGTTTGGGTTAAGTTGTTATGCCTAATTGTAACCTTATAATGTAAAAGGTCTCCCTATAGTTTTAAGCTTAAGCTGATAAGATTTTTATCAGTAAGAAAATTTTAACTATAACTGAATGTATTTAAAGAAAGAGCAACTTGTTCAGTAAACCATAAAAAAGTTAAGTTTAAGTTTAGTTTTCCCCCCTGCTGTACCGAAATCATACCGAACCGTGACATTAAAACCGAGGTACATACCGAACTGTCATATTTGCGTACCGTTACACCCCTATTAAATACTAAATATATACAGTGGGTACGGAAAGTATTCAGACCCCCTTACATTTTTCACTCTTTGTTATATTGCAGACATTTGCTAAAATCATTTAAGTTCATTTTTTTTCCTCATTAATGTACACACAGCACCCCATATTGACAGAAAAACACAGAATTGTTGACGCAAATGGCTGCAATATAACAAAGAGTGAAAAATTTAAGGGGGTCTGAATACTTTCCGTACCCACTGTAGCTGCTACATATAGTACCATATAAAAACGCATCATATCCATTTTATTAACATAATTATGAACACACAAATTATAAACTTACACACAATTATATATCACCTTATATGTAACATATATGGCAATATATGTCATATATTACATTTTCATATAGGAAGAGCTACAGCAAAAAAGGAAGATTCTTAGTAACAACTTAAATTTCAGCTTGTTCCTTGCGCAAGTGTGTGTGTGTGTGTGTGTGTGTGTGTGTGTGTGTGTATATACATGCATACATACACACACACAGAGAGAGAGAGATACAGTGGGTTCCACAGTTCTAAGGTCACACTGAAACCCTGAAAATGGAATTTAAAAATGAGCACTTTAACAGTATTCTAGGATGCCCAGAACTCCCTTATCAAAGTCATATTTGTTTGAAAACATAATGTTTGACCTGGCTATTTTAACCCTGTTTTTTTTAATTACATATTAATGAAATAAAACAATAATTAAATACTTTAAAATAGATAAATACACACACACACACACACACACAGTGGGTTCCAAAGTTCTAAGATCACATTGAAACCCTGAAAACAGAATTTAAAAATAAGCAATTTTATCGGTTGCTAATAAAATAAGCTAATTTGACATGGACTATGTGAGCTCCTTTGTACAAAGTCAGATGTTCAATATACTTGTAATGCAATATAAAAAACTTGTAATGGAAAAATAATGGATGCTATATATAATGGTAATGGATTGTATCAAGTAATATTAGTGGACTTTGATTTCTGGACCCCGCTGTATTCTGAACAACAAAAAGCTTTTGGAATGAACATTTTGGGTCGAAAAATGAAATATCTCACCTTTTCAAAGTCTTTCAGTGTTACTTCATATAGTAGTTCTGCATTTGATCCAATGTCATATTCTTTTTTACCCTCTTTGCCATAACCGTATCTGAAAGCATAACATAGACTGAGTAAAATGGGGATAGTTATATAAAAAAGGAAAGAGTATGTCAGATTATCAGCATTATGGTTGGTTAATGGTTTTATTATACGCAGATACTAGGCATGGAAATATTTTATATTAGTTTACAAAAGGCTGAATCTGGGTTGTCAGCAATATTATATTATATTATATTATATTATATTATATTATATTATATTACATTATATTATATTTTCCTTACCAAACATACACTAAATACAGTAACTATAAAAAGCAAATCTTACTTGGGCTTTAGGTATAATAAACAGCATTCCCCTTTTTGGATTTTCTCCATGGCCCTGTCCACTCCTAAAGGAACACCCACGTCCTCTGATTCACCCACTACAAAGGTGACATCTCGAGAATCAAATAAGCGACCTCCACACCTCCCCTCCAAGTGTACTGAGAAACAGAAACCAGACAGCATTAATAGTGTATCCAAAAGAGGCAGTGATCATGTGAACGCATTATCTATGAATAACAACCACATTCTGAACATTTAAGATTCTCAAGACGTACCATGTACTGTGGCCCCTTCATTAGGATTGTAATAGCCTTCGCCTTTGACCTTTATTCTCCTCACAATCCCACCATCTTCTGTAAGCTCCTCCCCTCTGAAGCTCAGCAGCTCAATCTAATTGTGGGATGCAGAACCATTCGTACTTTTAAAGATAACAAGCTTATACCAAAAGAGGCTTTTTGTGTTCTGGGTCTAGCATTTTTATATCACAGAGAAACAAAAATAACAATGTTAACAATTAATGATAACAATTTTATTTACTTTTTTTCTTTCTGTCATATTAAAGTCACATTAAAACTGAATTTAAAACTAAAAATCTTTTTTTAAATGTCCACCGTAAGTGTCCATGTTTGAAAAGACACCAATAATGCATTCTCTACAAACTAAGATATTTTCACAATTCATCCATGAACATGTACAGTAGGTTATTTAAGTGCTTGATGTTCCTACCTCAAACACAAGTGTGGCATTGGGAGGAACCTTTGGGGGGCTGCCAGATGAACCGTATGCATATTCAGGCTTACAGAGCATCAAGCACACCTCTCCTTTCAGCATGGAACAAACACCAATGTCCCACGCCTTGATGACCTGACCTGTGTGAATCAACCAGACAGTACTCCATCATTTCAATACTATATATATTTTATTCTAAAAGTATATAAATATTGTCCATTTATATACAAATAATTACTTACTATAAATAGTCTTATTAATAAAAATTCATAACCCACAGGTACTCACAAAAATTGATACTTTAAATAATAAACAAAAAAATAGTTTGTGGCTCATTTTCATAGTTAATGATTTGTGTTAATACCCTTTAAGATGAAATACAATTTGTTTCTTTGATCATAAGGGAGGCACCACATGTCTAAACAACAACAGCAATTACACCCCTTTTTAAAAAAATTTGTATCTTTTATTTTTTTTCCTTTACTACTATGTGTTGTATGTGATGTGGTGGTTGTATTTCTGAGCCTAAGACAAATTTCCCTCAGGGACAATAAAGTGTACCTAGTGTAACCTAACCTAAATGCAACCGCAAATGTCATTAAACAGGAATTTCAGCCTTGCTCTTTAGTGAGAATTGTACAATGAAATTGTCAGGTTGTATAATCATTCCATTTAACAGACACTTTTGATAGAGTAGCATCCTAAATGTCAGTATAATATAAACTATTTGCATGTATAGTTTAAATAAAAAAATATTGTTTAGATTTTCTGTTTTTATTCTTTTTAAATTAACTTCTGTCATCTATTACATAACTTTAAAATGATGTCTGATTTGCTCCTTTCTCAATTTACGTAATCAAAATGAACAAGTAAAATGCAATTCTTAAACTAAATTTTATTTGAAGTGAATTTAAAGAGCAAAATAAAAGCTTAATGTATTTGTGTTGGGACTACATAATTTATATTAAAATTTATTTTTTTAATAATAATAAAGTTTAGTAGTAGTAGTAGTAGTAGTAGTAGTAGTAGTAGTAGTAGTAGAGATGATAATAATAATAATAAATAAAGTTTATTATTATTAATTTAAAGTTTCCTGGCTAAAACTTCATAGGGATGCATTGGACTGGACGGGTAAGTGTTAAATGAAGTGTTTTTGAGATGAAAAAAATTTTCATGTCCTTTAATGTTAATATTTAGAAGAGTTTCTCTTATGTGGAGAGGAGTGGAGTTCTACTTAGAATGTGGACGGTGACACGAAGAGTATGATGCATGTTGCTTCGCTGAAAAATCAATTACTCTTGAGGTTAACTGCACTCTTGCTAGCTAGCAGTTAACCACAAGAGAGTTCATGTGACTAATGTCTAATTTTATTATGGTATACCCAGTTCAGTTTGGTTTTCTACTAAACAAGTTACTTGAGTTGGGAGTTTAATTTAAGGTTAAGCAAATCCATAAAAAACCCAGTGTGTGGAACCACCGTCCACAACTGAATCTAGCTGAGCCAAATAATTACACACTGCAAAGTGGGCCATGTTATGATTAATGAATGTGAAAAGTATGTATATAATAATGTATATAATAGCATAGCACATACAATTATTTTTCTGCTTATCCCTTTGTCACACTGGATTTCTTTCAGCAAAAGCCCTCTTTCAACATAGAATTTGTTTCAATAACAATACTTAACATTTGTAAAATGATCAAATTTAGTCAAAAAAAATAAATCTATGAAATCTATTACCTTTTCCCACATTGAAAACAAAAGGCTCTTTGCGGTCTAGACTGGAGTCAAACTTCTTGCCATTTAGGAGTCTGCCAGTGTAGTGGACGTACACCCTGTCCCCAATCATCGGCTTTTCCCCTTCCACACCATGCTGTTTCACAACCTTTAGAGACGCAGGGGAGAAAAATTAACAATCCATCCTTACACAACCTCATACTTACTTTAAATTAACGGCAGATCATTCTGAATGTTAAAAAAAATGCACTGATTTAAGTCAAGTTTTCACTAACTCAACACAAGTCCACTTCAGTAAAGCATATGCTCCTTGAAAGAACAGCACAAGCACACATGAACAAGTGGACGTAAAATGTATCAGCAAATTATGGAAACTTTTTAAATAGTATCACTTTAGTCTAAAGTCTCTTTTTTCATTTAAACCTGCAAATAAACAATAAGCAAATTTTTAAGTGACACAATGTTCTTTGGAACATTCCAATGACATCCTGATTTTTTTTCAATTAAACTTTATTTTAAAATGTATTTATAAATTCAATTCAACTTGATTTTTTATTTAAAATTTATTTTTAGGAAAAAAATTGATTCAGTTAGAAAATAGAAAAGAGAAGAACTTTCACTAGTGATTGCAGATTTTTGGACCCACTGTATCATTCATGACTACAGGAAAAATACAGAATTTGTAAACAGCTGTGATATAGAGTTACTAAGGACTGGATTACCTTACATACTCCACGGTCACCGTTTAGAGTGACATCGGTGCCTCGGGAGGTAAAGACATCAGTTGGGCACTGGTTAGTGGAAAAGATATCCTCTAAAGATGACATCTCTCCACTCATACATACCCGTGTTCCCCTAAAAACAAAAATACTATATTTATCTTTAAATTTTAGCCAATTATAATAAGGCGCTGCTATCTTTAGACAAATGCAAATTGTCAGTTGTTACCTGCCTGTGTGTGTGTGTGTGTGTGTGTGTAAGGGTAGGGTTGGTGTAGGGCAATAGAATATACGGTCTGTACAGTAGAAAAACCATTACACCTATGGAGAGTCCCCACAAGGATAGCTGACCAGACATGTGTGTGTGTGTGTTTAAAAGCAGATGCATGTAGAGTTTTGACTCTGGAATGAATTACCTATCACAATCAGACTTGCCCCCTCTGTATCTGCTTTTAAATCTAGCTTAAAAACTTATTTGTTTGACAAGGTTTATAATCTGTATTAATGCTTTCCTGCCTTACATTTTATTATACTTTGTGTATTTTTAAGTAAATGTGTTTTTGTGTTTTCATTTTTAATTTTTTTTGTAAAGCACATTGGACAACCATGGGTTGTAATTAATGGTGCTATATAAATAAATTTGCCATTGCCATTTTAGGGTATTTTTATTTAAATGTACACCAAAGCTTGTGAACGTGTGTGGCGGAACACTATGTTCCTTTTATTCAGAGGTGCTGGCACAAATTCAGATTCTAGAGAAGGGTGTCTTGTGAGATTTATGTCAGTAAACCTAGTAAAAAGACAAGGGAACAAAACAGAACAGAGAAGGGAACATTCAGTCCACTCCACTTTACTTTAGGCGGCGAGATACTACAATCACTCAAGGCTCTCAATCAAAGACATTTATTTTTATCCACACACATGCTGAAGGTTACAGGAAGCAAATAAATTTCAAGGAACGTTCAATGAATGCATAAGAATAGATATAGCAGCACATACCTAAATAAAGACAACAATAAAAAAGTCTATGTATGTTTTTTCTGGAACTGCTCTGTGCCAAACTGATCAATGAATAACTAACATCTTTTAGCACTGAAGTATAATATATTCATTAATACAAATATTCACCTCACTGCATATCAATTTAGGGCTTATGTCTTGGAATGGGAATATAGCAGAGTGAAAACTAACAGTTCAGGCTATTTGACTCGCAAAATAGTCTGCTACCATCCTGGCTGCAACATCATTGCTGTGGAAACGTATCGTTCTTTGAGCACGATTTATTCTGAAAACCCAAGATGAAGGAGGTGGATGTACAGTAAGTAAGTCAAAAAGAGTCACAGATACAACCACAACACCAGGAAGCCTTAATAGCATACACATTTTATGTTAAACATCTTACTGTACAAGAAGTAAAAACTTGTCTGGTTTTGTTGGCATTTTTTTTCCATTTTAAATGTTAACAAATGTAACTAAATTCTGACCCTGGGCTAAGTAAATTAATCACCCGAAACCTTTTTTAACAGATGAGTGCTTCTAAAAGTTTTCTCGGAATCAAGTGTTATGAAGTTCCTCTAATAGATGTTCCTTAAAAATCAGCTGTAAGATGTAAAAATGATGAAGGCTCGCATAAAAACCCTGAATTTGGTGTGTACTTCACCACTTGTTGCATTTAATAACTTAAATTGTTCTCGTTTTTTACTCATTTTATTCAAGGACCACTCATCTGATAACTCATCTGTCTATATCTCAACGTACTGGTCTGTCCCACTACCAACCAGACTGTCTTTGACTGTTTGTCTACCTGTGTTTGTCTCAATGCCTGGTTATCTATTCATGCTTTTCCAGCCAACTGTCCCTAAGTCTTTCTCTCCAGTGATCGACTCGTTTAAAGGTGGTGTGACTTTTCTAAGCCCTTATTGGAGCTCCATCTCAGATGTCCGCAGTGTGGTGAGATTGCAACAGGCATTCCTGTAACAAAGATGAGTGTTCAGAGACAGTTGACTCATTCCATCCTTGAACATACCGTCCACAGTTAAACACAACATGTACTCATTCAGATTCCGAGTTAATCACCTTGTCAGACACCCAGTCTCTTTCTGTATTAATGACATACAAGCTGTCCAAAACATCCAAATTAAATTATCTGTAGACAATGATGGTTTTGCAACTCTTGAAAACATCTCTCACACAGAAATCAAGGGTGTGACCACGTAACCAGTGAAGGACAGATGCATCTGACACCAATAATCAGATAAGGGAAATATCATTTCAATGGTTGATTGTTAAATTATCATATCTGATCCTCCCAGACCTGAATATATGGTTACACACTAAAAAATGATTTTCTGAGCTTGTAAAAGACACAAGGATCCACTTGTAATTTACATTAAAATGTGAAATATAATCTAAACAGATTTGAGAAAAACATGCTTGAGAAAGCCAGTCGGTGTAACCAACTCCGAGCAGCATCTGGCCAGTGGTATAACGGTTAGTTGGGGTCATGAAATAACATAATTTACAAATCTTGAAAACCTCAATTCCCAGCACATCTCAAACTAAAAATCAAAAAGGCAAAGGCAGATAACACATTTTCAATCCACAAACATATTTCTCATTTCTACATTATAAACACTGTCCTTAAGATGGATTAATGAGAAAGAGAGTCTGTGAAATAGTAAGCAAAAGTGTGTATACAATATAAAGGATTATAAAATGTAAAAGGGCCATTTAAATGAATACAAATTCAAGGAGTTCACTACCATCATAATTGAAAGGGGTACTTCACGTCCTCTCAGTTTCGTACAATCTTCCATACATCTCAGACGCAACAAAAGGCTATGAAACCCATAGCAACATGCAAATAAGATTACAGCTACAGTTTTCTTTCCAACATTAGTATTTATTCTTTTATTTTAATTCAAAAATAAAGCCACATTTTGAAGAAGGGGTTAATTATTTGTAGAGAATAAGCAAGATAACTGTTAAATGAGGTTTGTAGGTAAAGCATAACACCGTGAGAAAACAGGCTTTTCTCCTTACTAGTGACCATATTTAGAAAGCTGTTTTAAATATAAAAGGTAGATTAAGTGATGGATAAAGAATAAAAAACAAGCATGAAATAAAGACTTACAATATTTCCCTTTTGTTGCTCGTTCCTCTCATGTGTTTGACCATATATCCGTCCGTATGCAACTTCAGTTTGTCTTACCGGCGAATACAACCTGTGCCTGGCGGCTTAAAGGGGAATGAGCCCGCCCTCTCAGCGCGAGAGTACTAGATGTTCTACCGGCTGTATTTTACACTTCTCCACACTAATAACCATCAACACGATACACGATACTCTACGAGACATTTGGACGGGGAATCTGTACAGTAGAAAAACCATTACACCTATGGAGAGTCCCCACAAGGATAGCTGACCAGACATGTGTGTGTGTGTTTAAAAGCAGATGCATGTAGAGTTTTGACTCTGGAATGAATTACCTATCACAATCAGACTTGCCCCCTCTGTATCTGCTTTTAAATCTAGCTTAAAAACTTATTTGTTTGACAAGGTTTATAATCTGTATTAATGCTTTCCTGCCTTACATTTTATTATACTTTGTGTATTTTTAAGTAAATGTGTTTTTGTGTTTTCATTTTTAATTTTTTTTGTAAAGCACATTGGACAACCATGGGTTGTAATTAATGGTGCTATATAAATAAATTTGCCATTGCCATTTTAGGGTATTTTTATTTAAATGTACACCAAAGCTTGTGAACGTGTGTGGCGGAACACTATGTTCCTTTTATTCAGAGGTGCTGGCACAAATTCAGATTCTAGAGAAGGGTGTCTTGTGAGATTTATGTCAGTAAACCTAGTAAAAAGACAAGGGAACAAAACAGAACAGAGAAGGGAACATTCAGTCCACTCCACTTTACTTTAGGCGGCGAGATACTACAATCACTCAAGGCTCTCAATCAAAGACATTTATTTTTATCCACACACATGCTGAAGGTTACAGGAAGCAAATAAATTTCAAGGAACGTTCAATGAATGCATAAGAATAGATATAGCAGCACATACCTAAATAAAGACAACAATAAAAAAGTCTATGTATGTTTTTTCTGGAACTGCTCTGTGCCAAACTGATCAATGAATAACTAACATCTTTTAGCACTGAAGTATAATATATTCATTAATACAAATATTCACCTCACTGCATATCAATTTAGGGCTTATGTCTTGGAATGGGAATATAGCAGAGTGAAAACTAACAGTTCAGGCTATTTGACTCGCAAAATAGTCTGCTACCATCCTGGCTGCAACATCATTGCTGTGGAAACGTATCGTTCTTTGAGCACGATTTATTCTGAAAACCCAAGATGAAGGAGGTGGATGTACAGTAAGTAAGTCAAAAAGAGTCACAGATACAACCACAACACCAGGAAGCCTTAATAGCATACACATTTTATGTTAAACATCTTACTGTACAAGAAGTAAAAACTTGTCTGGTTTTGTTGGCATTTTTTTTCCATTTTAAATGTTAACAAATGTAACTAAATTCTGACCCTGGGCTAAGTAAATTAATCACCCGAAACCTTTTTTAACAGATGAGTGCTTCTAAAAGTTTTCTCGGAATCAAGTGTTATGAAGTTCCTCTAATAGATGTTCCTTAAAAATCAGCTGTAAGATGTAAAAATGATGAAGGCTCGCATAAAAACCCTGAATTTGGTGTGTACTTCACCACTTGTTGCATTTAATAACTTAAATTGTTCTCGTTTTTTACTCATTTTATTCAAGGACCACTCATCTGATAACTCATCTGTCTATATCTCAACGTACTGGTCTGTCCCACTACCAACCAGACTGTCTTTGACTGTTTGTCTACCTGTGTTTGTCTCAATGCCTGGTTATCTATTCATGCTTTTCCAGCCAACTGTCCCTAAGTCTTTCTCTCCAGTGATCGACTCGTTTAAAGGTGGTGTGACTTTTCTAAGCCCTTATTGGAGCTCCATCTCAGATGTCCGCAGTGTGGTGAGATTGCAACAGGCATTCCTGTAACAAAGATGAGTGTTCAGAGACAGTTGACTCATTCCATCCTTGAACATACCGTCCACAGTTAAACACAACATGTACTCATTCAGATTCCGAGTTAATCACCTTGTCAGACACCCAGTCTCTTTCTGTATTAATGACATACAAGCTGTCCAAAACATCCAAATTAAATTATCTGTAGACAATGATGGTTTTGCAACTCTTGAAAACATCTCTCACACAGAAATCAAGGGTGTGACCACGTAACCAGTGAAGGACAGATGCATCTGACACCAATAATCAGATAAGGGAAATATCATTTCAATGGTTGATTGTTAAATTATCATATCTGATCCTCCCAGACCTGAATATATGGTTACACACTAAAAAATGATTTTCTGAGCTTGTAAAAGACACAAGGATCCACTTGTAATTTACATTAAAATGTGAAATATAATCTAAACAGATTTGAGAAAAACATGCTTGAGAAAGCCAGTCGGTGTAACCAACTCCGAGCAGCATCTGGCCAGTGGTATAACGGTTAGTTGGGGTCATGAAATAACATAATTTACAAATCTTGAAAACCTCAATTCCCAGCACATCTCAAACTAAAAATCAAAAAGGCAAAGGCAGATAACACATTTTCAATCCACAAACATATTTCTCATTTCTACATTATAAACACTGTCCTTAAGATGGATTAATGAGAAAGAGAGTCTGTGAAATAGTAAGCAAAAGTGTGTATACAATATAAAGGATTATAAAATGTAAAAGGGCCATTTAAATGAATACAAATTCAAGGAGTTCACTACCATCATAATTGAAAGGGGTACTTCACGTCCTCTCAGTTTCGTACAATCTTCCATACATCTCAGACGCAACAAAAGGCTATGAAACCCATAGCAACATGCAAATAAGATTACAGCTACAGTTTTCTTTCCAACATTAGTATTTATTCTTTTATTTTAATTCAAAAATAAAGCCACATTTTGAAGAAGGGGTTAATTATTTGTAGAGAATAAGCAAGATAACTGTTAAATGAGGTTTGTAGGTAAAGCATAACACCGTGAGAAAACAGGCTTTTCTCCTTACTAGTGACCATATTTAGAAAGCTGTTTTAAATATAAAAGGTAGATTAAGTGATGGATAAAGAATAAAAAACAAGCATGAAATAAAGACTTACAATATTTCCCTTTTGTTGCTCGTTCCTCTCATGTGTTTGACCATATATCCGTCCGTATGCAACTTCAGTTTGTCTTACCGGCGAATACAACCTGTGCCTGGCGGCTTAAAGGGGAATGAGCCCGCCCTCTCAGCGCGAGAGTACTAGATGTTCTACCGGCTGTATTTTACACTTCTCCACACTAATAACCATCAACACGATACACGATACTCTACGAGACATTTGGACGGGGAAAATGAAATGAGACTAAAGGGGGAGGAGTAAACGCGGGGGAGGGAAGTGTAGTGTAAAAATTAAGGGCAGGCCTTGGAAACTGTCCACAAAGTAACACAATGTTCCGGCTGTACTGTAGCTCGCGCTGATGAGAACACAGTGTCCTAGTAGACACCCTGACCCGTAACCCGTTGTGTGCTGACTGAACAGCTCAAGTTAGGAACAGCATGTACAACCACACAGTCAGAGCACAGCGATACGCGGAAAAAACAACACGACTAAATTATGTTTTAAAAAACGTGGAAGTTTAAAATGATAGAACGCACAGCATTCTTACATTTTTTTTAAATAATAATAATAATAATTTTTTTAAAATCCGGTTGCGGTACAGTTGACAGCTGAAAAAAAGTTATGGTAAACGTTTGAATAGTATTTTTGGATTGCATAACCACCTTAATAAAACAGGTGATGAAATGAAGATGAATTAATGTTCATCAAAATGATTTTCATTTATCATGCCTATGCACTTCACAAAACACCATCAGGGTAATAATGCAAGAAGCCTAAACATTAATGAAATGACATAAATGTAATATAAATAGGCTATACATATATACAGTATAACGGGTTACACTAATCATTAAAAAATGTATTATTTCAATAAAACATTATAAAATGTAAACTCTCCCGCAAGGACCTCTGGGAACCTTGTTACTTTAATTTTGACAAAACTATACTGTAAATGTTACTGTTTTGTAGCTCCCATGTACATGCATTGTTAATGCAGATTTTCACCATAAATCACATACTAGTACTTTTTGCTTCCAATTTTATATAGCATTTTACAGTAAAATTACATTTATTGTCTGTTAAATCCATTTTTTATTGTAAGGTAACTTACAGTTAACAGGTTTTATTGTTTTCTGTTTATGATGATACACTGTCTATTCTGTGTTAGAAGTGTGTTGACATTTAAAGCTAAGCAGCATCTTCAATGTATTATGTTTTAAAGATTTAATTTCTACACAGAATAATTCCATGTCAAGTGGATATGTTTAAATAAAATCCAGCCTTTCAAGTGTGCATGCCAAATATTGAACAACATCAGCACTGGCTGATGTTACCTGCCTCAAAAGCCAGACTGGAACTGTTACAAAATGTTCCTGACTCATTCACTAGAGCAACAAGAGGTGTCAGCAGGAACACAAGTGGCATGCATGATTGTCTGGATTTAAAGGGACTGATTTCCCTTTTCAAGCCTGATTTTTTCAGGTAATAATTTCAGATGGATAGTTAATCCAGGAAAATGATGAGCTCTGCGGTTAAAGTTATTAAAGATTCTGTGCAGATTCAGTATATCAAAGATATATGATCACCCAGAGAAATGCTATTCATTCATTTGATTGATTTGTAATTTTGATATACATTTTAGAATATTTTCAAAGGTACCCAAAATGTAATTAATTAAACTTATATTTAATATGATGTCAACAGGCCTGTAGCTTTTCCAGGATTATCCAGGACACTGAAGTACTCAAGCATGGAAGTGAGTAGAACAAAACGCTGCCTCAAAGCTAAGCAGCATCTTCAATGTATTATGTTTTAAAGATTTAATTTCTACACAGAATAATTCCATGTCAAGTGGATATGTTGAAATAAAATCCAGCCTTTCAAGTTAGCATGCCAAATATTGAACAACATCAGCACTGGCTGATGTTACCTGCCTCAAAAGCCAGACTGGAACTGTTACAAAATGTTCCTGACTCATTCACTAGAGCAACAAGAGGTGTCAGCAGGAACACAAGTGGCATGCATGATTGTCTGGATTTAAAGGGACTGATTTCCCTTTTCAAGCCTGATTTTTTCAGGTAATAATTTCAGATGGATAGTTAATCCAGGAAAATGATGAGCTCTGCGGTTAAAGTTATTAAAGATTCTGTGCAGATTCAGTATATCAAAGATATATGATCACCCAGAGAAATGCTATTCATTCATTTGATTGATTTGTAATTTTGATATACATTTTAGAATATTTTCAAAGGTACCCAAAATGTAATTAATTAAACTTATATTTAATATGATGTCAACAGGCCTGTAGCTTTTCCAGGATTATCCAGGACACTGAAGTACTCAAGCATGGAAGAGAGTAGAACAAAACGCTGCCTCAGTATCTGTTTGGTATCTTAGCAGCAGGGATCTGCGACAGAGCTTACTTATAATGTGAAACTGCTCAGTGCGGATGGCACAAGCAAACAAGTGTGGGGCATTCAAGAATAAGGATTCAGAGCAATATGTCACTGCCAACAAGGTCCAAGTGGGGACATTCCATGTAAACTTGTTTGACCTTTCTCCTGTTCGTGTTCTATGATCATATTATGTATATGATCTATATCAAAATCCATCTGTCCGTTTTATTCATCATCAATATTTTGTTTTGTTTTTTTCTTCTTCCAATTCTGACATGAAAACTAAATGTAGAAAAATAAACACACTTGTGGTTATGTTTTTAATTTACAGACATCTGTTGTAAAATAAATTAATTTTTTCTTTACTAAAAGCTTAGTGGTGATGACATTCAGAATATGATTACAGTATTGTTCTGTCAAAGGGTGAATAGGCCATTATTCTATGTGGTTTCATTTACATAAAAGGAACTTATACTCTTTATGAACATACAAGTGCATATCAATAAATTAATGTCGTGGATACGTTTATTTATTTCAGTAATTCAACTCAAATTGTGAAACTCGTGTATTAAATAAATTCAATGCACACAGACTGAAGTAGTTTAAATCTTTGGTTCTTTTAATTGTGATGATTTTGGCTCACATTTAACAAAAACCCACCAATTCACGATCTCAACAAATTAGAATACTTCATAAGACCAAAAAATTTTGAAAAAATTTAAAAATAATTTTAGTCAATTGTTGGCCTTCTGGAAAGTATGTTCATTTACTGTACATGTACTCAATACTTGGTAGGGGCTCCTTTTGCTTTAATTACTGCCTCAATTCGGCGTGGCATGGAGGTGATCAGTTTGTGGCACTGCTGAGGTGGTATGGAAGCCCAGGTTTCTTTGACAGTGGCCTTCAGCTCATCTGCATTTTTTGGTCTCTTGTTTCTAATTTTCCTCTTGACAATACCCCATAGATTCTCTATGGAGTTCAGGTCTGGTGAGTTTGCTGGCCAGTCAAGCACACCAACACCATGGTCATTTAACCAACTTTTGATGCTTTTGGCAGTGTGGGCAGGTGCCAAATCCTGCTGGAAAAATGAAATCAGCATCTTCAAAAAGCTGGTCAGCAGAAGGAAGCATGAAGTGCTCCAAAATTTCTTGGTAAACGGGTGCAGTGACATTGGTTTTCAAAAAACACAATGGACCAACACCAGCAGATGACATTGCACCCCAAATCATCACAGACTGTGGAAACTTAACACTGGACTTCAAGCAACTTGGGCTATGAGCTTCTCCACCCTTCCTCCAGACTCTAGGACCTTGGTTTCCAAATGAAATACAAAACTTGCTCTCATCTGAAAAGAGGACTTTGGACCACTGGGCAACAGTCCAGTTCTTCTTCTCCTTAGCCCAGGTAAGACGCCTCTGACGTTGTCTGTGGTTCAGGAGTGGCTTAACAAGAGGAATACGACAACTGTAGCCAAATTCCTTGACACGTCTGTGTGTGGTGGCTCTTGATGCCTTGACCCCAGCCTCAGTCCATTCCTTGTGAAGTTCACTCAAATTCTTGAATCGATTTTGCTTGACAATCCTCATAAGGCTGCGGTTCTCTCGGTTGGTTGTGCATCTTTTTCTTCCACACTTTTTCCTTCCACTCAACTTTCTGTTAACATGCTTGGATACAGCACTCTGTGAACAGCCAACTTCTTTGGCAATGAATGTTTGTGGCTCAACCTCCTTGTGAGGGGTGTCAATGATTGTCTTCTGGACAACTGTCAGATCAGCAGTATTCCCCATGATTGTGTAGCCTAGTGAACCAAACTGAGAGACCATTTTGAAGGCTCAGGAAACCTTTGCAGGTGTTTTGAGTTGATTAGCTGATTGGCATGTCACCATATTCTAATTTGTTGAGATGAATTGGTGGGTTTTTGTTAAATGTGAGTCAAAATCATCACAATTAAAAGAACCAAAGACTTAAACTACTTCAGTCTGTGTGCACTGAATTTATTTAATACACGAGTTTCACAATTTGAGTTGAATTACTGAAATAAATGAACTTTTCCACGACATTCTAATTTATTGAGATGCACCTGTAGTTTGTACATTTATTAATCTCGACTATTTTCAGAATGGATCATAAACAGTTGCTTAAATAAAATACATATCAATTACTGGAATTGTTATCAGAGGGTTATAAAGTATTTTAATAAATGTACCTCATTAATGTGCTACAGTAATATTTTCGATTAAGGTTTTGATCTATCCAGAACATCTGTGGCTTGTTGTTTATTAACCACTGAAGTTTGACTCATCTCTCAATTTGTTAAAAAAAAAAAAGCATTTACAGAGAAATTAATGAATAATAATATACCACCACGACCTGTCATTTGATTCCTAACATATTTGCAATAACCAGATTTTTATTTTTAGCAATATTATATTCTTCCTAATTTGCATAGTGTAAATCCTGTTTAGTATGTGAGATTTAAATTAGCTACTAAATAATTAGCGTGTCAAATCATAAAAAATGGAAATGGTATGCTGTAATTTCAGAGACCACAATTTAATGATGCCATAGTATGTCAAAAATATGTGTACAGTTTTCTACATACATATAATGCACTTATATGCACTTTTCCATCATCTGCAGAGCACATAGTTTTACAAATATTTCAAATAGCCTATGTCAAGAAACAGGTCTTACTGGTTTCAGTTCATTTCAATTAACATCTGGTGTGTTCTAGGGCCTTACATGCTTTAACCTAACCACTTTTTAGTTAGATCCTTTTAATTGAACAACAAATTTGTTATGGTATTTATACTTCAACATAAGCACAATTTCTCTGTACCTTTCACAACGCTTCCTGAAAGG